CACTGTTTGCCTCAGTTTCCTCATCTGTAAAATGAACTGTAGAAGGAAATGGCAAACTCCTCCAAGATCTTTGCCAAGAAAACCCCAAATGGGGGTCACAAGGTGTTGGACATGACTGAAACAACTCAACAATACCAACAAACCCCTAAGGCAAACAAAGGTTAAAATGACTTGCCCAGGGTCATGCAGCCAGTGAATGTCTAGGGCCAGATTTGAACTCAGGTCTTCCTGACTCCAGTCCCAACACTCTGTCCACTGCACCACCTAGCTGCCTCTTGTTCCAGAAGTATTTCTGTAAATTTTAAACCTGGTTATCATTTGCTCTGAGGGTGACTATCAATCTTTTTCCTTTTTTTTAAAATAGAAAACTGTTCATCTTTCGTATTGGCCTTAGATAGGGCAATTGGCCCTGTGTTTTGTCAATGTTGTATGGTTTGGGTGGCTTTTAGAATACTCTCCAAAACCATTATGATCCGTTTTCCAATGCTGAAAGTGTATGCTAAAACAGGTGTTGTATAGGTGTTGACTACTTTTTTAATCAGTCAATAAACATTTATTAAACACTTACTATGTGCCAAGCACTGAGCTAAGCACTAAATTCTTCTCACTAAGCTCCAGTTTCAGGAAGCTAGTAACTCTCTTGATATACGTGGCCTCACATTTCTTTTTGATAGCTTGCTCAGTGCACCAACAAGCTTATTAAGCACCTACTGTGTATCCAAGCATTGTGCTAAGCACTAAATTCTTCCCACTGAGCTCCAATTTCAGGAGGCTAGTAACTCTTTGATATATATGGCCACACATTTCTCTTTGTTAGCTTGATCAGTCCACCAACAAGCATTTATTAAGCTTCTACCATGTGCAGGCACTGAGCTAAGCATTGCTTTATGTTTTCCTAAGCATGAGCGTATCTTGCCCGAAGGAGACCAAGGTATTTGTTGGCATCACCTTCATCCTTTGGCTCAATTTAGCATCCGGATTCAAAGCCAAAGCCTTCTGTTTCTAAATTTCCCTGGCATATGTTGAAAGTTTACGCCCACTGATCCCAAATGACATTTGGATACAATTGGAGAAAGGTTCCTCAAGGTGGGAACGCTGTTTAACATGTTTCACACTGGAACCACATCACTTGAGGTCATCACGTGTATAAGGTGATTGATATGTGATTGTTACTGTTATAGTTCTTCTGGGTCTGCCCCATTGTAACGTGCACATGCGCATACGTCCCATCTTGTGCAGTAGTATTCTCTATGAAATCTGACAGCCATTAAATGCAGACAGTTTTTCTCTTCCTTCTCCACTTTCGGTATGAAGGTCCCTTGATTGGATAAAGAAGACCAGCAGAAATATTTTGGTTATATTCCATTCCTTGCTAAGAGCCTACGATCCCATGACAATCAGTCAACGTCAATAATCCTTTATTGAGTGTTTGCTATGTGTGAGGCACTATGCTAAGTGCTAGGGCTACAAAGAAAGGCAAAGCCCCTGCCTTCAAAGAGGGTCCATTCTAACGGGAAGGACAACATGCCAACAACCGTGTACTCAGTAAGTTGGAGGTAGTCTCAAAGGAAAGATGCTGGCATTAAGGGGGACCTGGAAAAGCTTCTTGTAGAGTTTTAGCTGAGGTTCGAAGGAAGCCAGGAGGCAGAGATGAGGAGGGAGAGGGTTCAAAATGTAAGGGACAGCAGGGAAAATGCACAGAAGCGGGAGAGGAAGGGTCTTATTCAAGGAACAGCAAGGAAGGAGCGGGGTGGGGGTGGGGGATGGAAAATAAAGTATAAGTAGACTGGGAAGGTAAGAAGGGGCTCACTTATGAAGGGCTTTTTAGAGCCAAACAGAGCGTTTTGTATTTGATCCTGGAGGTAACAGGGAGCCGTTGGAGTTTATTGAGAAGGTGGGAATGGGGGTGACATGGTCAGACCTGAGCTAATTTAAGAGGATCCCTTTGACATCTGAACAGGGGTTCGAGACAGGGAGATCAATGACCAGCGTGAGGTGATGAGGGGCCCACACCAGGGTGGTGGCAGGATCAGAGGAAAGAAGGAGGTGTATGTGAGAGATGTTACAAGGGGAAAATCAATAGTCCTTGGCCACTAATTGGCTATGGTGGGTGAGTGGAGTTGAGAATGATGCCTAGGTGCCTGGGATGATGGTGGTACCCTCAACAATAATAGGGGAGTTGGAGAGGAGAGGGTTTTGGAAGAAAGATCATGGCTTCAATTTTGGACATGTTTGGGTATAAGATGCCTACTGGACATCCAGTTTGAGATGTCTGAAGGGCAGTTGGAGATCAGCACAGAGGTTGGATATGGCTGGATAAGAAGATCTGAGGATCACCTGCATAGAGATAAAATGCCCCCGATAAGACCATTAAATGAAAGAGTACAGAGGGAGAAGAGAAAAGGGCCCAGGACAGAACCTTTGGGGGCCCCCCACTCTTAGTGGGAATAATCTGGGTGAGAATCCTACAAAGGACACAGAGAAGGAGAGTCAGATAATTAGGAGGACAACCAGGAGGAAGCAGTGTTGTGAAAATCTAGGGAGAAGAGCGTGGCAAGAAGAGGGCAATCAGCAGTGTCAAAGTCTACAGAAAAGGCAAGGAGAGTGCGGATTGAGAAGAGGCCATTGGTAACTTTGGAAAGAGCAGCTTTGATCGGATGATGAGGTTGGAAGCCAGATTTAACCCTATGCAGAGTGTTAAGAAGAGGGTGAGAAGAAAGTGATGACATCCGTTGTAGATGGGCATCTAGAGTCATGAAAGGGAGGAGAGATATGGACAATAGCCAGTGGGGATGATGGATGGAGCAAGCAAGGGTTTTTTTCAGGATGAGAGAGGCACAAACATGTTGGCAGGCAGAAGGGAAGCAGCCGATAGGTAGGGAGAAAATTGAAGTGTGGTGAGATAGAATGTTGAGAGATGTTACAGTTGACAGAGGGGGCAATCTGCTGGAGAAAACGTATGCAATGGGAGCACTTGGGTACATAGAGCCAACTCTTCAGGCAAGACAGCTGAAGGGGGACCTAGTGATAGGAGAGCGATGAGCTAAGGAGGAGAGGAGAAGAGAGAGCTTCTCTAATGATTGATGATGGTGACCAAACTCAGAGTAGGGGTGTCTTCTTGTCCCATCCAGTCAAGAGAGGCGGTCCTTTGTTCACATGTGACCAGCCTGGAAGGGGACCCCTTCGGTAAAGTGGTTTAAGAGGGAGCTATTGGTTTCAGGGAGACATTCCCCCCAGTTTCTGCCATTAATGAGACTATTGTTCTGTTTGGTAAATGTAGCGAAGTATTCCTGGGTCTAGTCCTGGAAGGGCCCTTATTTTGATGGCGTCTTGTCCTCACTTGAATCAGATGATTGAATAGAAGATAATCATTTCAGGAAGACCCAGACCCTTAGGATTTGTCTTGTTCGTCCAATCCAATCCTCTCATTCTACAGGTGAGGAAACAGAGGCTCTGAAACGTTTAGTGATTTTCTGCCAGGTCATCCAGGTAGTTAGTAAATGGCAGGTCTGGGATTCTAACCCAGGTCCCAAGACTCTGTCCACTATACCATACTGCCTCTCAAAATAAAAAATCCTAAACTTAAACTTGGTTATTTTTTGCTTTACTATTGAATTTCATCTTTTGTTTTGAGATTACTATAAAATGTAAGGTGGCAATTGCTTGGATTGTGAGGGTGGTCTGATTAGCAGAGGGCACTCTGAACCTTGGTCTAAGCAAAAATGTTTGTATATCCATGAATTGTCTCTGATAGATTTGGATTAAAACATAGAGTAGAGTGTGTGAGAAATAAAAGAGTTAAGTTTCCACACAAGTAGATAAGAAATCAGCATGGACAGGCTAACTTCTCCATTGGGGGAGGAGTGACAACACAATTCTAGGCACAAAATGTGTGTTAAGGAGTGGGGATCGCACGTATATAAAATATAAGAACAGGGAGTATAAGGAAGATTGTAACCCAGAAGGATTAGTTCCAACCTGATCCAGAAGGGAGGAATTAGGCAATTACTAACTATAAAGCTTGCTCTGGCTTCTGTACTTGGCACACTCTCCCCTTCAAAGGAGGTGCGCCCGCTTCTCGCGAGAATCCAAAGGACACACTTCAGCCTCTTTAATAAAAAGTCTTTGAGACACCGGTCTTCGGAACTGAATCTGGGGTCTTCTTTATAACAAGGGTTTTCCTTCCAGCCTGGTCACTCCAAAGCTCCTCTTGTCCTCCTTCCTGCTTGCTGGATGTGAGATGACTCATCAGTCCTCTGTCCTTCTTGTTGGTATCCCTCCCAGCATCATGACACCTGCTCAGAGCTCTGTGGGGGCCTCAATAATGCTGCTTTTATTTATGATTGTTTCCCAAGTTTCCCTCAAGACACGATGCTCTTCCCACCTTACTGGCCGTCAGCACATTCCTAACTGGAAATCAAAGCGGTTTCAGTTCCCAAGTAGGATTTCCAACTTCTGGGGCAGCTAGGTGGCGCGGTGGATACAGCACCGGCCCTGAAGTCAGGAGGACCTGAGTTCACATCCGGCCTCAGACCAAACACTTGATACGTACTAGCTGTGTGACCTTGGGCAAGTCACTTAACCCCGATTGCCTCACCAAAAAACAAACAAACAAACAAAACAAAACAAAGAAAAGGATTTCCAACTTCTGGTGACCCATCTCATTCCTCTTCTGACTGAAGCCCACCTCCCCCCTTGGGGCTTCTTTGATTACTCTGCTGGCCTATCCTCTGCTACATGGGAACCCATTCCTTTCCCATCCCACCCCCATCCTGCTCTCTCTCCAAAGGTGTTATCTGTGGAGGAGAGGTCAGAGTGGGCCCTCCAGGGAAGCGGGAAGGGGATAGACTCTGACACATTAACCAGTGGTGAGCAGGCCAAGGTCAGCAGGTTAAATGGTCACTGATTACCTCTTGGCCAGGGCCAACTAGCTTGGGTTAGATCTGATTACTTCCATGGATATTTATGTAACCTAAGGGCATATATAAGAGCCCCCTGGGCTCAGACAGATCACACACAAGCCACGGGTGACACTCTACACACCCCCTTCCCATCCTGTTCACTGCTAGGCCTGTGGTCAAGATGAAGGTTTTAATGGTGAGTGTCCTGTCTCCCTGGTTGCCTTCCAAAAGGCTGCTGGGCTGTCCCCTTCTCTAGGCTGCTTCAGGGTCCTGAGCCCCTGGGTTCCTCCTCCTCCAGACTGCTCCCAGAATCCTCAGCCCTTGAGTGCCTCCTTTCCAGGCTGCTCCAGGGCCATGAGCCCTTGGGTACCTCCTCAACTGCTAGGCTACTCCAGGGTTCTGAGCTCTGAGTGGCCCCCACTCCAGTCTGCTTCCAAAACTCTGAGGGAAGGGTGCATGGTTTGGAAGGGTATGGTTCAGGACCTTGGGTTCACTCCCTAGCCCCAGTACCCTACAGGGGCCCATAGTCCACCCAATTAGGCTGATAAGGGACAAATAGGGGAGAAGAAGGAGACTGGGGTGGAGAGCAAGAGCCTGGTTGAAGAAACTGGGACTAAGGGGAGTAGAACCCAAAGACTGGGACTTCCAGGCCCAATGGCCTACATCATCACTTTCCCTGTCTCAATCCTGGGAACAAGCCAGAGCCATTCTCTTCATTTCATTAGTGGAGAAACTGAGGCTTACAGAGGCACAGTGCCACCCATAACATCCCATAGCAATTGAGACTCCCAGCTCCTGGGTCTCCCCCTAGACCCCTTCCTTCCTAGGAGGGGGTAGCCAATGGGTTAACTCTGCTCCTTCCTCCTGTCCTCAATTGTTCTCCTCCCATCGGTCACAGGGCTCAGCTAAACCAAGTTGCATTTTCTTATTTTCTCTAAGCCCAGAGGCAGGGATAGCCTCTTCATTATCCACAGCGGGAGGGTTCTCTGCGCTGTCCCTTGGCTCCCAGGAGTCTCCACCCCCCCTCCCCTGCCCTCTGCCCCCCGCCCCCCGCCGCCCACCTCTGGGCCCAGGCGGTGTGTGAGTACACAGGTGACTGAGTGGGTCTGAGGTGGAACTTGAACAAGGCTCAGTGGGTGCGAGGAGGTATGAGCGGGCAGTAGACCATGCCTGAGTGTGTCTCTGCTTTCCCAAGCTGATCGTTTCTAGGGCTGCGATCCTGACTCTCCCGGGGTTATTGCATCTTTTTTCTCCCTCTCTACTAGTGATATTCTGGAATAAGCTGCTCCTAGGCTGCAGGGTCCCTTCCCCCTCTCCTGCCCCTCCTGAAGCCTTCCCAGAGAAAAGACTAGCCTTCCTTCCCTCTCCCAAACTGGCTGAGCTCACCTCCTCTTCTCTCCTTTCCCCCACAGGGTCCAGATCCTTCTCAGATTTATCGGCCTGATGGGGGCAAAAATAAAGAGGACTTCCGAAACTACACTGTGAGATAGCGCTCCCGGCCCCGACCCTGACGTTGACTTTGGCCCTCCCCTACCATCCTGGGGAGAACAGCTTTAGTGGCCAGTGAAGGAGGAAGTGGGTGGGGTAGAGAGAGAGGGTCAGAGGGTCAGGGATGAGGAGGCCTCAGACACAGTGGGGTGGGAGGGGGAGGAGCTGAAGTCTAACCTGACTGGGCCTTGCAGTCAGGACCCCTCCTGGATCGAGTCTACACCACCTACAAGCTCATGCACACGCACCAGACCGTGGACTTTGTCAGGAGGAAGGTGAGACGGGAGAAGGGGTCCTTGGGGTGACAGATCGGTGTCAATAATGGTGGGCCCCTGTCCTCAGTGATGGGTCATTTCTTGGGAGTGATGGGTCTGTGACCTGGGGCGATGGAGTCAGTTTCCTCGGCGTCACAGGGTGCATTTCCAGGGGATAATGGATCCTTGTTTCCAGTGTGCGGCTCTTGTCCCCAGCACGAGGAGTTTGGTGCATTCTCCTACAAAAAGATGAGTGTGATGGAGGCCGTGGAGCTGCTGGACGGGCTGGTGGATGAGTCTGACCCCGACGTGGACTTTCCCAATTCATTCCATGCATTTCAGACGGCTGAGGGCATCCGGAAGGCTCACCCTGACAAGGGTATCTCCCCCTTCCCCCAATCCCAGGGATCTCCTACTCTTGTGCCCGTCACCCCAAGCGGTCCTGTCTCAGCCCCCTCCTCACGCCCCCTAAAGGCAGACACGGAATGCCAGCCTTCCGTGGGGGGCGGGGAGAGTGGCCCTGCTGCTCCCAGACCCTGCTGGTGGACCCTGCCCTTATTTCTGTGTGTTTAAGGGAGGCCCAGGAGAGGTGGTGAGCGAGGTCCCCCACTGGGCACCGAGAGGTCCTGATGCTGGTGGAGGCTGTTGCTGACTCCTGCGATCGGGGCACTTCGTTCCTCACTTAGTTTCTCCATCTGTACAGTCAGGACTTGAACCCGGTGATCCCTAAGGTCCCCCTCCCCCACCCCAGTTCCCTTCCTTCCTTTTAGCCGACCTCGTTTTGTGTTCAGGTCCTCTTTCAGCCCCTCCCTGAGCTCACTGGCTCTCATATAGGGGAGGTCTCCTCCTCCCCACCTGAGCCAGGGAATAAGGAATGGTGGGAGCCAGGCAGGGGAGATAACGTGGAGGGCAGGAGCCAGGGAGCCCCCAGATTCAGAACAAGAAAGAGAGGGTGGGGGGATTAGAAGTGTAGCCACCTTGCAGGGAGGAAGGGAGAAAGGAACCTGGTCCACTCCCGGAACAGGACAAGAGAAGGAAAACCCCCAAGCCCACAGGATGAGTGAGTCGGGGCTCCCCATCCCCCAAATCTAGGACCAGCCCAGGCCCCTGTGGCCAGAGAATTAAGGGCGAAAGTCATAGAGTCATTCCCCCTTAAGGCACTGTCTCACTGTAGGTCATTCTCAGCATTAGCCTCTCCACCCAATCATTTCTTTAATACTCATTCATTCTCCCACTCGAAAATCACGATTTCACTGGATTGTGATAAACATTCCATTGTTCTGATTATTATTTCCAGTGTAATTAACTTCAAAAAGCAGTCACTATTATCCTCCATATTCAGCATCTGGTGAATTATTACCCAGGTGGGGCTTTTTGTGATTGAAAAGATTATTATTATTTTATTATGTCACAGTTCAGCTATTCCTCCACCCCATTCATTCACAGAATCAGAGAGACCCAGAGCTAGAAAGGAACTCAGATTCCCTACTGAGACAGTAATTCCCTCCACCCTACAAGCAGTCCTTCAGCCTCTGCTTGAAGCTGTGCAGTGACAGGGAGCTCACTACCTCCTGAAACAGCCCATTCCACTTGGGGATGGCTTTGAGTATTTGGAAGTTTCCCTGACATCCACCGTGAACCCAAGGCCTGAAGCCAGCTTGTCCTAAGCTCCTAGACCTGAGGAAGGAGGAACCCTGCTGCTGTGCCTGCTATTGCTGCCAGGGTCCTGAGTAGGAGAGGAGAGGGTTCTCCAAGCATGGATCTCAGAGAGACAGAGCTGGGGAGGGCAAATCAGCCTTCTGCTGGCCCATCCTGAAGCGGTGGCAGAGTAGTTGTCCTGTCTGGGGCACTGGGGCTAGAATAAGGAAGGTGATGATCTTCTGCCCCTGCCAGACAAAGGCCTGGGTACTGAGTCCAGGTCCGGGCCACATTTAGGAAAGACATTCTTTGTTTCAATTCAACAAACCTTAATGAAGGACCTACTATGTACAGGATAGTGGCGATCAAGTGCCAGAGAGGAAATAATTCCTGCCCTTTGGGAGCATACGTCCTTAAGAGTTACTTCAATTCCCCTCTTCCTTCCCAGGTATGGGGATCAGTACTAGGTGGAAGGACAACGTGTGAAGTAATTTAGGAAGGGGCCTCCGGAGAAAGGGGACCAGGATAACTAAAGCAATAGCTGACATTTTTCTGCTGCTGTAAGCTTTACAAAGCCCTTTCCACACACCAGGGAGAGAATGCAAGGGTCAATTCCCCCACTTTACAAATGAGGAAACTGAGGCTCCAAGGGGTTAATCGAAACTTCCTCACAGCTAGTCAGTGTGAGAAATGGAATTCCCCCCCAGATCACTCCTGGCTCTAGGTCCAGCACTCTTCCCACCTTATTAGGTTGGCTCTGTGGTGAATACAGAAAGTAGTGAGGGGTCTAGAGATCAGGCAATTGATTGAGGAACAACTGATAGGAATGGAGGGGCTTCAGCCTGGAAGAGAGAAGGAAGAAGAAGAAGAAGAAGAAGAAGAAGAAGAAGAAGAAGAAGAAGAAGAAGAAGAAGAAGAAGA